TAAAGACAACCAGAAAAAAAAGACAGTACATTTAGATGAATAACAGTAAGACTACTGGCTTATCTCTCTTCAGAAACAATGAAAGCAAACAGAGAAATAACATCTTTAACGGGTTGGGAGAGGGAGAACTTTGAAAACAGATGAAAAAATATTTTTAGATAAACAAAAGCTAAGAAAATCTAAAACCAGCAGATACACACTAAAAGAATAACTAAAAGAATTCTTCACACTGAAAGAAAATGACACCAAGTCATAACAGATCTGTAAGAAAGAATGAGAAGGCCTGGAAATAGCAAATCTGTGGATAAGTATAATGAACTACTTTTCTTTCTTGAATTTTAAAATACAATTACATGTTCAAAGCACAAACAATAACATATTTAGCATTTAAAAACAACTGTATAAGTATATACCAACAATATTAAAAAAGTAAGTGTAAAGGTAAATTACACTATATTGCTGTAAGATTCTTAAATTACATGTAAAGTTACATATCATTATTCAAGATAAACTAATAACAAGGATATACATTATAATCCCCAGAAAAAATACAAACAAATAATAAATAAAGCTAAAAGTTATACTCCAGTAAGCCAATAGGGAAACTAAATCATAATACTAAAAGACCGTAATCTAGAAGAAGGAAGGAAAACAGGGGCAACAAAAGCAGCTAAAAAGAAAAAAAAAAAATGGAACAAATAGAAAAACAATAGCTAGATCCAAGGCTTAAATCCACATAAATCACTAAATGAGTTAATGTAATTGAATAAATATTCTATAGACAGAATGAATAAAAAACCAATACCTAGCTACTTGTTGATTCAAACTGACACATTTTAAATACAAGGACACATGGCCAGATCTTACTGTCAAGATGCCATTCAGCACTAAAAAGAACTGAGCTCCTTGAAAAAATTAATGGTATCATGATTAAGTTAGGAAATTTGCCCAAAATGACAAAAGTGCATCAACACGTCATATGAGCCAGCCTGAGGTAGCTCACACCAGCTACATCTGGGACCATCTGAGCATCAAAATGAATAAGGTCATCAAAGGAACAACTTGACTGAATGATGTAAAAATCTATAAGTCTAATATAGTAAATAGGAGAGCATAGGTAGACAAATAGAAAGATAAATAGACAGGTAAATAGGTAATCCAGAAGGATTCCCTAATACAGAATGTGAAGTAATACATATTGACACGCTCAGTTGCTCCCCAGAGAAGAGAATGGCAACCCACTCCTGTATTCTTGCCTGGAGGATTCCATGGACACAGGAGCCCTGGAGGCTACAGTTTATGGGGTCACAAAGAGTCATATGTGACTGAGCAACTCATACACACACACACACACACACACACACACACACACACACACACACACACACACACACACACACACACACACACACACACACACACAGCTGCTCAGCAGTGTCTGAGTCTTTCTGACTCCAAAGACTGCAGCCCACCAGGCTTGTCTTCGCTCCTCTCCCTCTCCATGGGATTGTCGCAGCAAGAACACTGGAGTGGGTGCCATTTCCTCCTCTAGGGGATCTTCCTGACCCAGGACTGAACCTGAGTCTTCTGCACTCCAAGCAGATTCTTTACTGCTGCACCAACAAAGTAGCCCCTTAAGAAATAAAAAATCCTATATTAGCTAAATTATCAGGAAAAAAACGGATTCAGGCAAGAATCACTAATGAACACTATAGTGAAAGACATCTAGTAACTAAAAGAATAAATACATGGTCTCAAAGTACTTTAACACAAACATTACTTATTACAAAAGGAAAAGTGGAAACTATATACAGAAAACAGAAAACTCTTAACTTGTTAATCAAAATTAATATGAACTGCATAAGAGATTAAAATGCTAAACACACATAGGTACATATAGACAGTAAAGGAGGGAGAAAGGAAGTAATAAAGTCAATGTGGTAACATTTCAAAAACTGAAGAATTTGGGGAAAAAGCTTTCAGTTCAGCACAACATTTTAAAAATTCTTCTGTAATGTTGAAATTATCTGAAAATAACATGCTAAAAAGGGTTATAAGTAATAGAAGAGACAAATACATACCATAAAAGAAAGTGGTAGTTATATTAATACAAGGCAAGCAAGACATCAATACTATTTTAATTTTTAACACAAACAAGGACATTTCATGGAATTAAAAAGATGACTACAACAAAAAGATATCACAATTCAAACTGTCCATAAACTTAAAAAGATATATTCAAATAAATGAAGCAAACTTGAGAGATCTCAAAAGAGAAATAGACAAAATTACAATCAGAAAAAGCAGACCTACAAAAGAAAGGATACAGAAAATTTGTACAATAATATTAACAAATTTAATCCAGTTGTCATTTAGAGAATACAACATTCAACAACTACAGATACAGATTTTATTCAAGTAAACATGGAACACTGTTATAACTGGATTTAAATTTACTGCTTCCTTAGTTGATCTCTATTTGTTCCACCTGTTCTATAGCCCATTTAACTCTTCAGTTGGTTGTTTCTGGATTGAGTATTCTTTCTACAATTCCTTTTCATTTTCATTATTGGCTTATTACTTTTACTTCCTTCAAGTTTTTGACCATTTTTTCAGTGGCTCTTCTAGATCACACTACTTCATGCATAATGTAAAATCCTTAATTAGTAAATCAAATTCCTCTCTCATATTCTTTGTCCTATTACTATCATATATTTACTTTTATAGTTACATTTCTTTATCAGACACTATCATTATTTTTCATGTACACAAGCAATTTTCTATAAGACCAATTAAAAATAGAGGAATGACATTAGAAATAGCAGAACAGGAAGTCCTGCATTCATATCCCTTCTCAGCAACAATAATTTGACAGGCAAGCAAAGACAAAAGTACTTTTGTGAAACGTTGGATTGAAGAAAGAAGACTGTAAAACTCTGGTATCATCCAAGACCAAGGAGGGTTGCTTTTAGAAGGCAAGCATAAACTCACTCATGTGGCATACCTGCTAACCATAGTCCTACCTACAGACCTAGAAACAGACCCTGACCCTTGACAGCTTATGGACATGGCCTATTTGGCCTTGCCACCATCACCAGTTGAAAAACGACCCAGGACGAGTCATGCCAACCTGTGCTTTGGATAATAGGTCCACCAATCTCAGTTCCAGCTGTAAACTGAATTGTTCCATGACCCAACTCCAGCTCCTATTAGCTTCCAACCCTGCCTGCCTATGACTGGGCAGAGACATGCTCATTCATGAATCTAGGCAAGTTCTCCAACCTCTGTCTGACTGCAAATGCTAAAAAATCCCTGTAACGTGGCCCCATATACTCATAGCTACAGCCAGGAACACTCCTGCCTACTCAGAGACCTGCTGGAGCAGTAACCTTCCGTGCAACTGGAGGAAGGGCCGCCCATCTCAAATCTGACTAGAGGCTGCAGGGCCCACACAACCTGGCTTTTGCCCACTTGTACCCATGAGAGGCCGCTGCGCCTGCCAGGGATCGAACAGGAGACATGCCTATACATGCCCCTAGAGATAGGCCCAGTGACCTCAGTCTCACTGTGGATCTTGATGTGGCTCTGGAATCTGGCTCCAGCCACTCCCAACTAGGATCTAAGAGAAACCCTACTTTCCCAGGAACCCACCAGAAGGAAACCCCGAAAGTGCCCCCAGATGAATTCCTCAGTGCAGTTGCAGAGCCACAGTCTATCAGTCATTCTAACTGCGAAGCCCGAAGTAGACCAGTGGCCTGGCTCCAGGCCCCTGCCAGCAGGGAGCAGGAATAGTCCTGCCACCCTGGGACCTGGGGGAGACATGCATCTCCACGTCCGCGGGGAAGCACAGAGGCAGAGGCACCGATACAAAGCTACATGGCCCAGAGAGAATCAGACAGCCCAACAGCACCAGAGAAAGCAAACACAAGGGCCATAGTGACTCCCAGACACCTAGACGTACAGCTACCCTAAAAAGAATCGGAAATATCACATCAAGCTCAATAATACGCACGAGAACACAGACAACAAAACGAAATCTGGAATACAATGCATGAATAAAATGAGAAGCTTAATATAGAAATTATAAAAAAAGAACCCAACTCAAATCCTGGAGCTGAAGTATACAACAAAAGAATTGAAAAATTCTTAGAACATCAACAGCAGACTAAATAATGCAGAAGAAAGAATCAGGGCATTAGAAAACAGGCCATTTAAAAACATAGAGGAACAAAAAGAAAAACTGTAAAGAAAGCATGAGAGACCTATTGCATACCATTAAAACAACAAAAACCCTGCTTATTTAATTTATATGAAAAGTACATCATATGAAATGCCAGGCTGGATGAATCGCAAACTGAAATCAAAACTACCAGGAGAAATATCAACAACCTCAAATATGAAGATGACACCACTCTAAAGGCAGAAAGTGAAGAGGAATCAAAGAACCAAGAAGGAAAGCTATGACAAACCTCACATTACAGCGTATTAAAAAGCAGAGACATCATTTTGCTGATAAAGGTCTGCATACTCAAAGCTACGGTTTTTCCAGTATCATGTACAGATGTGAGAACTGGACCAGAAAGGCTGCTTAGTGCCGAAGAATTGATGGTTTCGAAATGTGATGCTGGGGAAGGCTCTTGAGATTCCCTCGGACAGCAAGAATTTCACATGCCACTCCTCTACTGACCTAACATTTCATCAATATAATGTAAAAACTAGAATATTATACTACTCTTTTCTGGTGAATCTCACTATAAATGCAAATCTGTAAAGAAAACAGTAGAGAATAAGGTAAGTAATATAAAAAGAAATTATTCAAGAGTTTCCAACTTCCCTTTTTTTACCTGACCATATAAATAGGGCAGTGGCATACCACACAGGGCTAATATTAAGACTTCCAAACTTGGAACTGAAGGGAACATCAAAAGTATCCCAGAATATTTATGTATATAGAGCCATAATCTCAGTAACTAATGCACTTCCATGATTTCATACTATACCTTAGATGAAGATCTTCTGAAAACTTCAGACAGGCATAGATAAATTCTTTAATTTGGTTGTAAACTTTTGGCACAAATTCAGAAAATGGAAACTTTTTTGGGAATGGTTGCTGTAAAAGCAAGAATTAATGAAAGTTACAAATGAGCATACATTGAAAATACCTATTAACTAATTAAAATGCAAAAGAGATTTTATTGCACACTAGGAACTGCCTTCTTAACTTTACATTTTAAAAACATATTTGTGAAAGTTTTCTAATGCTAAAAAGAGTAAGATTAAATTAAATAAACAATTCTAATGTCCTGTAAAACCCAATAAACAAATTCTGATACATACTCAGCAATAAAAAGGAATGAGTATTGATAAGTGCAACCACTTAGATGAGTCTCAAAAGCATTATCTTCAGTAAAAGAAGCCAATCTCAAAAGGTTACACACTATATAATTCCATTTATAAGGCCTTTTAGAAAAGGTAAAAGTAGATGGATAGCAACAAGATAGGTGGTTGCCAAAAGCTAGGGGTTGAGGAGCAATTGATTAAGAAGGTACAGCATGCTTTAATTTTGGGGAATCATGGAACTGTTCTGCAACATTGTTGTGGTAGTACATACACCACAAAGCACAGTCAAAACCAATACAATTATATAGCATGGTAAATTTTACTGTATGTTTTGGGGATAAAATGTCCTCAAAGTATAAGAAAAGCAAATATTTCAAAGTGTAAATCAAAAGGAAACACTGCCAGAAATCTCCTAAACACTGCAGAGGTGGACAATACCCCAAAGCCATTTACTGATTGGTTCCCTAAACAGGAACTTCTGTTCCTCTAAGCCCAAAAATCATCCTTTGAAGCTGTTTTAGATTCCTAATTCATTGAGTTAGAAATTATGCCTTTAATGAGACTGACACAAAGAAAGCTTTAAGAGGACACCAAATCAGAGAAGTTTACTTTAGTGTTCCTTACCTTTTCCAGCTCTGTATCTTGGAATGGGAATTGTCCTATCACTTTTTTATACATCTCTTCACTTGTTACTGGTATAGGACTGTAGTTGTCCGAATCAAGTATGTTTCTATAAAGAAAATAAAAGAAGAAAGGAAAGGAGGGAGGGATAAAGTAAAAAAGGAAAGACAGGTGAGTTAATCAGTAGAATGATCACAAATAACTTTCGGGAGAACTCAAAGGGTTGTATATTCACCACAACCTCAAATAAACATTTCTTAGTCCCTAATCTATTCCTTTTACAGTACAGCTATTTGGTCTTAGGTAAGGACATCTTAAAAAAAAAAAAAACACAGAAGTAAAATTGCATTCTAAAACAAATGGAACACAAGTGTAAAGATGACCTCATAGTATTTGAGATTTATAGCTCAGACAGAAAATTTCAAGGCAACATGTTGAAGCCTTAAGGCAAATGAGAAGCAACCAAAAAAAAAAAAAAGTGAACTCTGGAGAAGGCAAAGAGGTTTTATATGTTTTCTTAAAAAAAATAAATAAAGACTTTTTTATTATATTCTTTAATTCTATACTAGATTTTCTATTTTATCAAACTATGTTCATGTACTTCATCTACTGCTCTATATTAAGAATGACTTTTTCTTCATCCAAAGATTCTGTGTCCTTAACTAGACTAGGAGTTCTCCAGAGCAGAGACCATACTACCAAAATCAAAAAAGAAATTTATTGAAGGCTTCAGATTAGATGTGCTTGGATATATCATGATACTAATTTTCAAAAGATAATCTCCCCTAAAGAAAATTATATCATTAATAAATAGGACTTTTTAGAAATATAAATATTTATATTTATACACTAATGAGTTACACTACATAATTATCAACTATATGTTTATAAAATGTGAAGAGTAAGATTAATGGGTCAATGTATGACAAAAGCCACTACAATATTGTAATTAGCCTCCAACTAATAAAAATAAATGAAAAAAAAAAGACTAATGGGACAATGTAATACCGTAAAGCTATAAGAACTTGAAAACAAAGTAAGTTGATCTGGGGAAGTGGTCCTGCAGTAAACAGAAAGATCACTTCAAAAGAAGAAACAAGTGAGTTGACATGAGTTATGTGTGAGGCAAACATGTCCAAGGAAATATTTGTAAGTGGAGTTGTAATACAATAATTTTCTTATTGTTGTATGCATGTTGCAGTAACTATTTAAATGATATGCTTCAAATATTAGATTGTAATAGATCTCTTCTTCGGCTATGGAGAATAAGATGAGGAATAACATGAGTGAGTCTTCAAAAAAGTTCCAAAAAAGCTAAACTATTCAAAAGGGTTTTAAAGCCCTATCCTACAAGTGAGACACAGATTAGGCATGATTCCCAAAGAGAAAATAAAAAATCAAATTAAGATGACATAAGGTGATCTGGTTGGTATGAACCAAGGTATCTGGCATTTACTCAATGAAACAAATCTGGGGATTTGGGGACTCCTCACATAGTAGGCACTAATATCCAGAGATTGAATGTCTTGGGAACTTTATTTGGGACACCATTACCATTTAATTGAATTCCCAATAATAATTGGAATCAGACCTAGAAAAAAATAAGCCACATACACTTGTTGCTTATTATACCTGAAAACCCTTAAGTATAAAGACGAGTGTACAAACACACATGCCCACACACACACAACTATAGATAATTTCTCACCTGAAAATACCTGACCACTTCTTTAGCAAAGTTTCACTATACTGGTCTCTGATTTCTAATAGCATGTCAAAAAGCTGATTTACAGGAAAACCATACACCTGAAACAAAATAAGAAAAAAGCTTCATTTTATAAGGTGATGTTTTTTAAACAACACAAGAGAGATTAGGCACTGAAAGATAATTTTGTTCTTTGGACAACAATTTAAATAAAACCATGATACAAGAATCTTCCATTCCCACCTAATATCTATTGTTTATCCTCAATAATTAAAAGATATATACCAAAATATTTGAGCCAGTCAGAAAAAAATAAAAAGATGAACATTAGAATTAATGTATAGTTGATATAACTGTCAATGAAGTTTTCCCTATAACTCCTTCTGTAAGGAGCAACTTTCAGGAGTAGGGTCAGAAAATGAGAATGCTACTAATCTTACCCACTTCTAATATTATTCTATTGAATATAAGATGTGGTTCATATCAATAATCATTATTCAAAATAGTAAGTAAGAAAATCCAAAATCACTCAGACACTATATCTGAATTAGGAGCACTTTAAGAATTAATGTAGTGAGTTCAATTAATTGATTTGCTTTGAGGAAAAAAAGGGGGATGAGAATAAATTATGAGAACATAACAGACAAAGTTATGACCAGGAAATGCTACAAAAAGATAAAAATTATCTACCTCTAGGAAAAGAAGAAACACAACGAGAAAGAAAAAGGTACTTACTCAAGCTTAGATAGACAATCAAAGGATTTAGAGCTGACGAAACACTCATCTAGGTTAAATCTACATAAACATAAGCCACAAACCTGAAGTGTGTCAGCAAAAAGCACAATGAGGTTCTTCAAATCTAACACGAGGTTTGGATCAGAGCAGTAAGACTAAAGGAAATAAAAAACAATGACGAAAAACATATTTATTAAAAACAAAACTAACTTTTGATTTATTAAATTACTTAATGCTTCACCTGGTGCAGGCTCTCTGGAAACCCGTCCTGGTTTAACATAACACCAGATATAGCTAGGGGAGAGTGAGTAAAGACTCCAATAACCAATGATCTACATTTTTAACTTTTGGAAATTTAAAAACACACTTCTAAATAACTGTCTGGTTAAAGACGAAAGCAAAGCTGATACTGCATATTATATGGCCCAGCAATCCCACTTCTGGGCATACACACCGAGGAAACCAGATCTGAAAGAGACACGTGCACCCCAATGTTCATTGCAGCACTGTTTATAATATCCAGGACACGGAAGCAACCTAGATGTCCATCAGCAGACGAATGGATGAGGAAGCCGTGGTACATATACACCATGGAATATTACTCAGCCATTAAAAAGAATTCATTTGAATCAGTTCTAATGAGATGGATGAAACTGGAGCCCATTATACAGAGTGAAGTAAGCCAGAAAGATAAAGACCATTACAGTATACTAACACATATATATGGAATTTAGAAAGATGGTAACGATAACCCTATATGCAAAACAGAAAAAGAGCCTCAGATGTATAGAACAGACTTGTGGACTCTGGGAGAAGGCGAGGGTGGGATGTTTCAAGAGAACAGCATCGAAACATGTATATTATCTAGGGTGAAACAGATCACCAGCCCAGGTTGGGTGCAAGAGACAAGTGCTCGGGCCTGGCGCACTGGGAAGACCCAGAGGGATCGGGTGGAGAGGGAGGTGGGAGGGGGGACCGGGATGGGGAATACATGTAAATCCATGGCTAATTCATTTCAATGTATGACAAAAACCACTGCAATGATGTAAAGTAATTAGCCTCCAACTAATAAAAATAAATGGAAAAAAAAAAAACGGTAAAAAAAAAAAGTTCATATCAAAACTTATAGAATACAGCTAATGCCATTTAAAACATCTTTATATGTGACCATTAGAAAACATAAAAGACTTATAATAAACTAAGAACTCAACTCATGAAGCTAGGCCAAAAAAGCCAAAATAAACCAGAAATGAGAGAACAAAATTGATAAAATAAAAAGCAGACATTAATGACACAGAGAAGACATGAAAGATGTGATCGATGAAACCAAAAACTCAAGTTAAATATAAAATCAGTAAGACAGACAAATCACAGGTAACTTCAATTTAACAACAACAACAAAAAACACAACAATGCAAGGAATACAAAAAATAAATATAATACAGAAGAAAATAAAATTTACAAATGAACTCAATGTATAATCTCTTAACAAATTTGAAAACTGAAATGACTTAGATGGCATCTTCTTTACAAAGATGTATTATGTCACTATTTTTCAGTAACTTTTGATATTCAAATTCTCTGAAGTATAATTTGGTTACTTGCTCTCTACTTAACTGCTCAATCCCTAAAGAAGGCATGTTGAATTCTCCCAAAGTAGTGTGGCCTCTGTTTCTTGTCCCACTACTATCAGTTTTTGTTTATATACATACTGATGCTTGCTTGTTTCCAGTAAATGGGCTACTGTCTTTTTGATGGGTTAAAAATATTATCAAAACAAAATGTTGTTCTCTTCTCCCATTTAATGATCTTAAACTTCAATCCAGTGTTCTTGAAGAATATTGCCCTTTCTGCTCCCCATTCTTCATTTTTAATCTTCCTATATATTCTTAATGTAGAAATCTCTCTTAGTAACCAAACTATAATACTTTCTAACTGTGATGTTTCTCATGAATACTGACATTTTTGGACCTATTCTAGCCAACTTATTTTAAGTTTTCTGTTTTCAATGATTTATTCTTTCTTTTTTTGTATCCTTTCATGTTTTTCATTGGATTAGTTTTTTCAAATTATCTTATACCGGTTATTAATAACTTATATACTTTCTGTCCACTGTTTACTTGAAATAATCTGTAGTGTCATTTTAAAAACGTTTTAAACTTTAAGCCACTCCTCTTGTAGGGATTCTTAACAGCATTAAACTTTACAAACAATGGGCTTCCCTGACAGCCCAGTTGGTAAAGAATCCGCCTGTAACACAGGAGTTGGGACGATCCCCTGGAGAAGGGAAAGGCTACCCACTCCAGTATTCTGGCCTGGAGAATTCCATGGGCTGTACAGTCCATGGGGTTACAAAGTTGGACATAACTGAGCGACTTTCACTTACAAACAATTGATCAGTTATTTAGATTGATCTATCAGTTTTACTCTCACTTTTTGCACACATTTTATTTATTCTCACCTCATCTCGTATTTTGAATTTCTTTTTCATTTTTGGTAAGACATCAGTAAGATAGGATGAGTGAAAAGTAAACTTCGTATCCTCATGTGTTTGGAAATGTCTTTCTTTCGCACTCAAACTAAAATATACAACTCCAGACATGAGAAAACTGCCTGCTTCATTTACTCTGCCTGACAAAAAGATGCATCCTTTCAGCTGTAATAATTTAGTCGTTTTCTACTGCAGGGAAATTTCCCCTCTTTCACTTAATTATTAAGGTCCCCTGCTTTGTGACTATATTTTATTTCTAAATCTCTACTATATACAACCAAAATCTACATCAATTATCCATGTCTCTTAACTTTTCATTCATATTTTCCATCTCTTTGTGTCTCTGCTCTATAATGGGGTTATATATTTGACTTTGTCTTCTTGATCACAGAAAGATATGCAGTTTTATCTATTTAATCTCAGAATTAAATTTCTCTATTATGGTAGTCATAAATCTCAAGGAAACAACATTAATCTTTTATTTCTATCCTTCTGTGGCTTCCTTCCTTGTTCTTCCTCCTTCTCACATTTTGTATAACTGTGAATATAGTATACATAAAGAAAATAATAAATAAAACCTATACATGTAATTTTACCAGGTAAACATAATTGAACAGCACCAGCATATCAGAAGCTCCAAAACAACTTCTTTCCGCTCTACTCAGGAAAACATTATCATGACGTTTATTATAATCATTACATATCTTTCTCTCATTCTTTTTTCTTCATATTTTTTAGCTTAATAGATCTTATTTTTTAGAGTAGTTTTGCATTTACAGATAAATTGAACAGAAACTACAGAGTTCCCATATATCCCTTCATACAGACACTCATGCACAGATTCCCTTATTATAACATTTTCCCTTAGTGTGGTGAAATTTGGTACAGTTGGTGAACCAATACTGACACATTATTCAAATTACTATCATTAACTAAATTCCATAGCTTTCTTAGAGTTTACTCTCTATGTTGTATAATCTATGGCTTTTAACATAAGCATAATGATGCATTCCACCATTAGAATATCACAGAGAATAGTTTCACTGCCTGCCCTAAAAATTTCCTGTCTTCCACTTAGTTATCCCTTAAGCCCTCTCCCAAATCCTAGCAACCCTTATCTTTTTATTGTCTCCTTAATTTTGCCTTGTCAAGAATATCATATAGTTAGAATCGTATGAATATGTAGCCTTCTCAGTTTGGGTACTTTCATTTAGCAATATGCACTTAGCTTCCTCCATGTCTTTTTGTGGGTTAATAGATTATTTCTTTTGTTTGCCATTGAGTAATCTTCAATTATAAGGATATACTAGAGTTCATCCATTCACCTATTTTTTTTTCATTTATTTTTATTAGTTGGAGGCTAATCACTTTACAATAGTGTAGTGGTTTCTGCCATACATTGACATGAATCAGCCATGGATTTACATGAGTTCCCCATCCCGATCCCCCCTCCCCCATTCACCTATTAAAGGACATCTTGGTTACTTCCAGGTTTTGGCTATTTTGAATAAGCTGTTATAAACACTAGTGGGCAGATTTTTGCATTAACATAAGTTTTCAACACATTTGATATATAGTGTATACCTACTTGCTGCATCTTATATCTATGTTGCATTTTGTATAAACTTCCAAATTCTCTTCTAAGCTGGCTATATACCATTTTCCATTCCCATCAGCAATGAGAGTACCTGTTGTCCATATTCTCTCCAGAATTTGGTGTTTTCAGCATTATAGTCATTTTAATGGGCATGTGGTGGTAATTCACTGCTGTTTTAATTTGTAATTCCCTGATAACATATGACATATGACAGAGTTTTTCCAAGAGAACGCACTGGTCATAGCAAGCACCCTCTTCCAACAACAAAACAGAAACTCTATACATGGATATCACCAGATGGCCAACACTGAAATCACACTGATTATATTCTTCACAGCCAAAGATGGAGAAGCTCTATACAGTCATCAAAAACAAGACCAGGAGCTGACTGTGGCTCAGACCATGAACTCCTTATTGCCAAATTCAGACTTAAATTGAAGAAAGTGGGGAAAACCACTAGACCATTCAGGCATGACTTAAATCAAATCCCATACGATTATACAGTGAAAGTGAGAAATAACCAGATCTGACAGACAGAGTGCCTGATGAACAACAGACAGAGGTTCGTGACAATGTACAGGAGACAGGGATCAAGACCATCCCCAAGAAAAAGAAATACAAAAAAGCAAAATGGCTGTCTGAGGAGGCCTTACAAATAGCTGTGAAAAGAAGAGAAGTGAAGAACAAAGGAGAGAAGGAAAGATATACCCATTTGAATGCAGAGTTCCAAAGAACAGCAAGGTACGAGATACGAAAGCCTTCCTCAGTGATCAGTGCAAAGAAATAGAGGAAAATAATAGAATGGGAAAGACTAGAGATCTTTTCAAGAAAATTAGAGACACCAAGGGAATATTTCATGCAAACATGGGCTCAATAAAGGACAGAAATGGCATGGACCTAACAGAAGCAGAAGATATTTAGAAGAGGTGGCAAGAATACACAGAAGAACTGTACAAAAAAGATCTTCATGACCCAGATAATCATGATGGTGTGATCACTCACCTAGAGCCAGATATCCTGGAATGCGAAGTCAAGTGGGCCTTAGGTAGCATCACTATGAACGGAGC